ACACGAAACATTAGCACCGTAAACTGTGAATCCCATGTTGGGAGGCCTTGAACGTGTCTGATGATTGTAGATTAGCCCCAAACGACCCAAATAGCTTGACATCGATTCCAGCATAATTCAATGCAGTGGGGCTGAAGCGAAGCCCCATAGGCCAGTTCCCTGACCCAGTTCATATCGACGCTATTGCTATTATCACATTCTTAATTTTGACGTGATAAGTGAAATACGCATTTGCAAAATGAAGACTGGGAAATAGATTAGTCACTAAAAAACGAGTCAAAGAACCACTGATGATGACACTGCGAATGACAGGTAGTCACGAACATTTCAACACGAGGACTTGTAGCAAAAGAGAACTAGATGTTCACGTGTTATGATCACAGACCCTCAAGTAAAGTTTGCAGGATGGGTGATGTAAGTCCGAAAAGAACGGGATTTGCTGCCGTAATACATAATAAACCACTTGGATGGCAAATAATTGAGCCTGCTAGAAACTATCGATGTGGTGAAGTCAGCCCGACTAAGAACGGACGGCAGACTAAGATGGGAAGTGTAGATGGAAGAGGCCGTTTTGTGCAGATGCACAGATCAGGGGAAATAAGGAAAGTTGTTTGCTTTGTTGCGAGCCAATATTAAAGAAAAGACGGAATTTTTACAGCATGGTCTTTTGATTCAACTTGCATTGTGTGCATCCAGCGCTGGGTTTGTGGCGTATTCCTCCTATCCATTATTTATTCGCTCAGCCAATTTTGCTGCAGCGTGCTTTGCATGTAAACGAGCTTTTAAAATTTTCTCTTCAATCTCCTAAACAACGTGCCTCCCTTCTACAGTTAATTAGCGTACAGTGCTTTCCAAACTAGTTGGGACTTATTGATATTAGTTTGGTGCAAAATAATTGCCCACTTTCTAGAAATGTGGTTGAAATGAAAACAGCCATGATTGAGAAAGTATTTATTTAGGAACATCGCATCCGCTAAAGTTGGTCTAAATTGGATACCTACCTGATTTAGTGGTATGATTAGTACAAATGTCAGTAATATCAAATGATGCAAAATGGAAATGCCCGATTTCAACTCACGCTCAGCTCCAGGCACGTCCATCAGAGGGTGGTCATTGATGCATACAGTGTAGCCCTGGACCAACTGTTCATTTTCGCATTTGGGAAAGACGTGGGTTGCCTGCGGTACCGGTCGCCATGAAATAAGCAGAACTCCATCCTGGGGACCAGCTTCAACTTGGACATTTCTGGGGGGACTTGGTAGGCCTGTGATTTGTGAAGATTGAGATAAATTGCCTTTTTAGTGAAACAGCAAAGCACCCTAAATGAAATCCTGCTAGTACCCCAGGCTAATGATTCTTTCAGGTTACACCTCCTGAACTTATTATATTTTAGCAAATAGGCTTCTCGCTATTCACACTAATATCCTAGTGCACTCTTGAGGTCTGTAAGCTTACAGCTTCATCAGGGCGGTCTTTTGGCTCAAAACAGCCTCAACTATGATAGCCAACCCAGCGATTCCTCTTAGACTAACAAATGGATTTAATTTATAATGACCTTACCCATCAATAAGTATGTATAGATGTTTATAATACGCGTAAACTGATTGATAAATTAACTAACGATTCCTCCAAGCAAAGGCAATTGATAGAATTTGTTTTTGCTGTTTGGGTGCTACAGAGGTAGAAAAGAAAACTTAAGTCAGACAAAGAACAAAGGCCACGCCTTATTAGCATACCAACTGGAGCGGTATGGAACTCTATTGTGACAGCATTCCGCTTCAATTCATCACTAGATGGATTGCGTTGAGTGGTCTGACAGGCAGGAGGAGGCTCATTCGAACCACTTGAGCACTTTGATTCAACACGAACGCAATGAAGTGTGTTGGGATGAAGGCCTAAAAGATGCCGAAAAGAGCCCGTCCATAGAGATGATGTTGTACGTATTTGGGAACAATGGACTACTTGACTAAATTCCCACAGCCGAAAACGACATTTTATATCGTTTACTTCGGACTTTGATCGTATTGCTTCGTCATCAGATCAGATTCTTAAGAAGAGAAATGTGGGAATCGAATACACTTGAAAGTTATTACAACATACTCAAAATCATAAAAATACAGAATACTATTTTAAAAAAACACGTAAATTGAGTCTGAGTGATATAAGGATATCCGCACCACCAGTACTTGAATGGCGATGTGGTTTCCAAAACCCAATAACAAACGACAAAATTAATTAAGGCCGAATAAGTCCAGTTAGATAGTAGTTAATCACAAAAATATAAAATTCTTCTCTTTCTAAACAGATAATTTAGCGAAATGCCAAAATTTCATTATTGAAATGGACTATCTTTATTAAACAAGCAAAAATCACCGATTACTGCAAATAAAGTTGTGACTATTAAGGTTTTTTTCGCCACTTCCATGATTGCTCACACATGTGCCACGACATGCACACCACCCATACTCGGACCAGAACCGCGGCCGTACGAGGTTCTCTGTGGGTTCCAAAAACGAATTTGGCTAATAAGAGCGACGGTAGCATATGCACACGCGCCCTCCGTCCGAGTACCGATTAGAATGACCGGCTATGGGAGCCAAATTTCCGAAGAATTAAAGGGGATTTGCTTTAAGCTTTTATTGAAATTAAATCATAAAATAATTTTGTTTTTTCTCAAGTGGTGCCAACCAATGACTTTAGTTGCGTATCGTAACGTACCAGTGAGGAAGAGTTTGTAAACACCTGGTGGGCAGACACGAAGTTCGTGATTGTTGAGAAAGATTGCATGGTAGAAGTTACTGCTCCCTGGCAGCCAGCTGAGCTTGCATGAGTTGGTGGTGATGTGAGAGGCCTTTAGGCGTGTGGGTGCGGGGCTCGCACCTTTGCCCACGAGGAGAGTGCATTCAGCATCCTTAGACTGACCTCTGCTTGTCACCGTGCGTATTGAAATCCGATGTTGCTGGAATGACAGTAAAGGAATATTTGGTTCAAATCAGCACTGCTGATGCCGTATTCATGAAGGTTTGATAACCTAAGTCAAACACTTGAAATTTTGGAAAAAAATAAGGAAATACTATTTGTGATTAATTTCTAAAATATAACTTTTTGGGTTTGTATTTTCTGCCTTAAAATACCAACTGGAATCTACTGTCCAGGGTTTAGTGATTAACGAAACACATAAGTCTTATAAATCGGGGTATACGATGTTTGTTAATGATGTCACTTTAACCAACATTTTAATTTCTAACATTGCCACATTTTAGACCTACGACGAAGATGGAAGTCTTCGAAGACATTTCGCTCACCTTACACTGCCTTTAAAGGTTTATTGACTAATATTAAACTGCCTTGGTGACATTTCTAAGTTGTGTCTCTAGTGAAGTGTAACCTTCAATTTATGCAATACTTCACCGTCACTGTCTTCTTTTTCACAAAACATTTTCCAGAATCACCCAAAGATTCCTATTAGTAGTTGTTCGTTTTATTTTGGAACGGTATCGCACTGACAAATTCACAGCTGACCCCAATCACGACCACATGGAAATTTTTCAGAAGCCTAATTCAGTTTTAGGTCTCTCTAAACAACGAGTTTTGTGGGCGTAACGTTTTGGGTACCCATCTCACGAAAATCTTCGAAAATTTAAATTAGTCAATGAAAACGTCGTGGATTTTTAAATATAAATTTCATTAATTCGTTGTAATACGCACAGAGTTTTGTGTTGCAATGCCTCATTATTCAAGATACTCTTTTACTGGTCGATATCATTGATATCAAAACTGGATCCCACACAGCAGCAGCTACTTCATCTGAGTTTCATCATTAGTTCAGTGCTCAGTTGGATTTCAAAAAGGAAATCTCCCATTTTTAGAATGATTGACGTAAAACCAGCTCTGGAAGATAACACACATACGACGTCCAACAAACAGAATGGATAAGGAGCTATAACGTCACACGCTTGATTAAGACGCTGAGTATTTTGACGCAGTAGCCAAAGCTATAAAGTACATGTACATACACCGACGTCTAATTCTTATGGCCAAAGTGATCTCTCGTACGTACGAGAGCGCAACTTCTCTTAAGCGATTCGGTTTTTTAGGGAAATTGACTAATAAGGGTGGATGAACGATGCCTTACTTCCACAGTCGGAATGATTTGTGTTCTAAGTACAACACTTCACTAACTAATGGCAAGTCCCGCAAACTGTTGGAGTTTGTATGTAGTTGCCGACGGCAAAGCATTATACTATTAGCATTTAAAAGTTACTTACCACTAAGCGAGTAACAAAATTCGATTCGAAACGTCAGTGACGTTGTGTGGAAATTTAAAATGTGTACAGTAGCATCTTGATTTTACTTTTGGGCACTAGATGCCGTGGTTGAAAATTAAAATTGTGGGGTACTTTTTACGTAGGCATCGAAAGTTGCTGTCGCACCTATTGTATATGTCACGGTTGATGACCCCAAACCAACGCCAACAGTATTTATTTACCGTAATGTCCCGAACGTCACTACAAGGCAACTGAGCAATGAAAAAATCTTCCTTTGAACTTTGCTAGATTAGTGACACTTTCTCTTAAGCTAAAGACGCAACAAAATCGTGATTATTAACATTACACTGAACGAAAACGAGCTTTGTCTAGTCATGAGGCCAGAATATTAGTACATGTTTCATAATGTTTACATTCATTCTATTTGAAGATTTATAATCCAAGTTCCAGATGTTTACATTATTTATTAGAATTAAAAGTCCTCACTGTGTCTATTTAACAACCAAATTATTGAAAAAAATGAGATACTTCGCAGTATTCCTCTTTTGATTTCAGTCAAACCAGGAGAACTCAAGCTATAGAAACACATTCGAGCAGTCACGATATTCGATGGAATCCGGATGCTGACGTGCTGAAGCATCAGACACGCTTAACATTAAGTGATACACTTACATTTTAAGATTACTTAAGAACTGATACAATGAGGTGTTTCAGCCCTTTCCTTGCCACAAAATTGTTGACTACATTTTTAAAAAAAATGCCTAATGGAAAATATTTTAATGGTACAGTTGGGTTGTTACTTCTTGAGATAAGGGGCATTCGAATAACCTAAAATCGTTGGCTTTTGACATAAGGGTAGGTGACCGATATATTGTTCCAGCGGCATGGCCCTTTAAGAACACAATTTGAAGTTGTCGTGACAGAACCGATCCACAGCAGGCAACGCACTGTTGCAGATTTGTCAGCAAAAGCACGCTCGGGACCCGTTTCCCAATCAATGAAACCTTTCCAGCCTTTCAATTAGTGCACAACGCGTTAAATTTTTCTACACATTCACCAGAAGTTGTGATGGGATTTTCTGTGACTAGCATCAGATACCCTAAAATCACGTTTTTTAGGTAATACGGTAGTGGCAATCTTTCTGAATTAAAACTCTGCTTAGGAAATGGGAATACCACCTCTCAACGATTGTTTTCATTAGGCACATCATCATCATTAATATTTTGCATAGGTTTTATTGCTTCACCTGCAGCAGCACCTTTTTAAAACACAAAATAAACCTAGGAAATGTGCCTTGTACAATAGAAATAAATTTCAAATGACTGAAGACTGATCTTTATACAAACTAGATTAAAAGCAAAAACGCCTGATTCGAATTCATGTACGTGCAGGTAGATGCCGTGTGCCATTATTCCACGTGTCAGTCAAGTAAAGGAAAACGGTGAATTTCGGTGCAAATAAATACCTTGGAGGCATCGATGTTTTCGACTAAAGCTCTTCGCTTTTCATGTCCACCAACGGATGCTCGGAATTGACCATCCGCATAGACATGGTACGCCGTAACCTCCTCTTCTTGGTCGTTCGCCTGGAATTCGGGTGGCTTCCAGCTAACGATAATGCTATGCATTAACTGCTTTTCAAGCGATATTCCTCGGGGTGCAGGAACTGAAATCAGCAATTTTAAAATTGCATTTTATCAAAAATTGGTAGGTTAATTTCATTTCTTCATAAGAGAAAACAGGGTCTAAAATTGGTCTTTCTACAATGACAAAGTGAATGCGGAAAGGAATAGAACTAATTGAAAAGGGACATAAACACAACCAAAAGAAAAAGTAAAAAAAAGAAAAACCTTTTTCTTTAAAAAGTTAATAGGATTGAAGTAATTTCAAAGTGAAACTGGCAATGACAAAAGGCCACATTAGGTCAAGGAGAACATTGCTCAAAATATGGAAATTCCTTTCCAAATATCAACGAATTTCAATGCTATAAATGGTGTACACTGATAAACATTGAACTTAATCAAACCACCGTATATCTGTAAGGCAAACGTTTTTTATATTTACGGATAACTAGGACTAAAACACTGCATACATTCGCTGGCGGTTTAGATAAGGCGAAATTGCAAATGCAGACCAATGTCCAAAATTATCCCTAGTAAATTGCAACACTCTTGAAGATATTCACAATGTGCGATCATAAGCTAATCAAAGTCGCATTATCAAACAACGTATACGTCTAATCCACTAAATCGCACTGCATCCACACTCCCCAAAATGACAATTTTACCTAATTAGAGGAGGACGCACGACTACCAATTGTTTGGAGAACTGGTTGCAAACTACGCATAGCACACTGCGGAAGTGGTTGCGTCGTTTCAATCTTCGTAGATAGAACATCGAATTTAGCGCGAAACGTCTGCATTGACATTGACTGGCTGTTTGAATGCATCAAGGCAAACAACTTCAGTCCGACCAGGTCACTCGAGGGCAGCACGTGCAAGCCTTTCGAATTCCATTCCACTTACGGACATGATATAATGCGACCGCGCACCACACGACTCATCACACGACTCAGGCCTTGTCGAACTCGTCCCTTCGCCGCAAGATACTCGCGTGTGCGAATCCAAACTTCACCCATGTCGAATCACCGAGTCGTGCTGCTGGGCGGCCTCAAGCACCAACAACGTCCCTTCTCCGCAACACCAAACACAGACCTGACTTCAACACAACTAAGTGTCCTTGCCGTCGCAAAGTCGTAATGTGTGAAAAACAAATCGTTTGCAGCACCCTGAGCAAACATTCATGTGCTCCACTTGACGCACCACTAAACCGCAATAAAGCCGTTCCCATGGTTAGTCGCAACGAGCGTGTCATCAAAAGCTTCGCAGTCTCCTTTCAAGGTTGCCGGCTCGTGCAATATCCAACTCCCTTCCACGTACTGCTTGCTTCCTCGTACTTACTCCGCTTCGTGACACACCACTGACTGGTTTAACACAAACCACTTTCTGCCAACGCTCGCCCTTTTTCAACTCCTCGTTTCTGCAGTCTTTGACGTTGTTTGAATTTCCTCCACTTGGATTCGAGTACTCATTCGGTTTGTCACATTATTTCCAGTTAGAACATGGGCACTTAAGCATCGCGGTTCTAACATTCTTGTGACTTTCACGCGATTCTGCCGTTCACCTTGATTGAGTGCCCAACCAACAGGCAGGCGAATCACAAAATACCGCTCTTCTCGATTTCCATGGCATTGAACTTGCTGCTTCTACTTTCACATTTATTTAGGTTGGCTCCTGCTGCTGTCTTGAGTTATACTTGTGTTAGATTGAATTCTCATAATACTCTAGAAGGTGTTGAATGAGAGATTCTTTAAAACAATTTAGTATGGTTTGATTTTTTGGCAATCTACGAAATATTTATGAATGAATTTTTTCGGTTGTCGACCTATTAAATAAACCATGTGGTTTTAAGAAACTGACGGCAGTGAATCATGTTGTTATAAATTTCAAGTGTTATCAAAAAGTAGGATGAAGGACGGAGCTGATTACATTTTCATCAGGTTTGAACAATTGTGTAGAAAACAAATACCCAATTTGAGCATTTCGGAGTCAACTATGTGACAAATATTTTCGAGGTGTTGGCCGCCCTTGCCCTTGCAACATATTATCGATACTTCTAATTGACGTAATATACAAATTGGTCATTGGCTCCAATGATGATGATAACACAAAAATGTGTTGTATGCTGCATTTTTGATGAAAGTTATCGGATTTATTTGAAATCCGCTTTAAAGAGACGTTTTAGTTGGTTCAGTGTAGCTAAGGGACACACACATCTCGAACGCGTCAAGCTTTACCGGTGTTCTTCGTCTTCATAGCATAAATGTTAACCATGGACTAATGAATTTAATTGTAGTTTACGTTAATTCAGTGAGCTTTTAACGGGGCTGTAGAAAAGGGACACCATATTGGGAGTCTGGCACACCCAGCCAATCTGGGCTTCTTCGCATTTGATGTATGACATCAACATGAATCATATGAATCACAAATCCCCTTTCAGAACTTGATTTCTGAGTAACACAATGCAGCCAACTTATAGACCCAATTAAAAAATTACGATCTAAATTTAACCAGTATATACGTAGCAACTTGGCATGTACTGACAAAGTTAAAGAAAACGAAAATAGAAACGCAATTAACCTACCTTAGACTGATCTCCCAGAGAATGGTACAGCTTTAATCCTGACGAAAATAATCCTAGAAGAGATAATGTCCGCGCGGAATTCATATGGTCCGTGAGTCTAAAATCCCACTCACACGACTTTAGGTTTATCGGGAAAGCAAATTACTGAGATGTCGCCATGCAAAGGAGCCGGAAGAATGCGCGCCAGAACTGAATAGGCGATGCAAAAGGTACACAGCCCAATCTCGCCTCATCCCGACAGAGACAACAGCAAAGCTCTTTACGCGCGTGCGAACGTGCACTCGAGCTCACGTGGAGGCCAGCCAATGAAAAAGATGAGTCCTATCGACCATCGGTGTAGTTAGCCCAGAAACTTGGTGAACAGCCACAACCTAGTACTTGTGCGCGCCGTCGTGCGTACGCCGTAACGACGGCCATTGCGGGGGAATTGGCCTATGCGCGCTCGTTACCACGTTAGGTTACCTCTTATTTCATTTAATTCACATTTGCTGCCTCGCCGAGTCATCTGGTTTTCCCGGGAGCAGATTCATAGGCCAAATAAAGGGGATGTAATTTTCTTCTCGATTGATCCTATGTTGTCTATTGTCCACACGACTCTTGAAGACTCCAAGGAAATCCTGGAACCGAACAAGTGAGAAGCAAGTCGTAAATAGGCTATGGACCAAGACATCCGAGTGGCCTTGACGTAGCCTGTTTGAACCGCATTTGACGAGACACGTTCTCAATCCTACCGTCCAGGAAGTAATTTTTTATTACTTTACTTTATCTATTGGTAGACGTATTGTATTGCCCCACCCCCGACGACCTCACCATCAACAAATTATTGCCTCCTTCCAGTGAATATCGTCCCCCAGATTTAGATAATGCGGTCTCTCCTGACTTTACTAATGTAAGCTGCATTTCAATAAAAAACTTTGGACACAAAATATCATTCATGGAACTTCTCTTCATCAACGTAGGATATACGATGGCTTATAAATACTTCATGTTGCCAAGCTGTTGTCTTTAAATAGAACCACTTCCTCAACTTTTGATGCCCGTTCCAGTTGGATTGTGTAGGAAGAGTCTTCTAGGGTAAATTACACAGAGGGATCGCTGTCTGAATCACCGCGCTCCCTGAACAAGCCTTGCCATTGCGATTGGGATTACTCTAATAAGATTTCGTTAATCGCCTGATACGGTACCTTGACAATGAAACACCGCAGTGTTGCATGCCCTCACACACATCCTCACCCCTTTGGAGCAGAAAAGCCTCATGCTGTGGAAGAATCGCATCTAATTCTCCACCTAAGGGTCGCCATGGAAACGAATTTAGTGAGTGTATGCCATCCACTGCGGGTGGATTGTTATATCAATAAAATTGTTTCTTATCGTTGTTAAGTAATGATATTTCCCAAATGACCTTAAAGTGTTCTAGTCACCTTGCGAGAATGGCCATCAACTCGAGTGTTAGCTCGATGAAAATACTTCTGTTTGAGATCTTTGCGAGGAAATCAACATCACGAATTGTCTGATTTCTATTTTTCGCAGTGAGTTTTCAGTCACAATGCATATCTGCGTTAATTTTGTGACTGTAATGTTTAACTTCATCCACTAATAATTTTCAGTTAACTTATTTTAACGCCTAGAAGTTTGTTATTATAAAATATCGATTTCAACATTATCTCTGGCTAAAAAATCTGCTATTTGTGACAACTTTGAGCAAACTGCATTTATATCCTCTTGGTTGTTGATACTCGCATAATCCAAGAAGGGGGAATATTTTGAAAAGACGACATGACTTGATGGACACAACCGTCGGTGATTGTGTGTGCATTCATGAGGCACCTATGATTGTGGGAATTACTACAGGGTAGCGCAGAAACATGGACACCGATTGTCCTGACTTACACCTGTTCAGGGAAGCTTTCACTGAAGGGTGTCAGCTGATAGTCAACTACATATTCCTAAGTGATATTTGCACCAATCTTATCGGTGTGATGATCGAACACCTGCCCATAATCAGTTATCTTATCCAATTATTCAAGTAAATATCGAAGAAAAAAATTTTGCCCGTCCTTTTCTTTAATTCCTGACTTCCTCCTTACACGAAGTCTACATTCATAGGACTTAATTATTAAGAATGAAATACCGCAGATAGCTGATGTCGTTATTGCTAGCCCAATGGACCAGTGTGGGTGTTCTCCTATGTCACCGCTTGTGAAGACAGCTTTTATGAGTTCCGTGTCACAGAGTAAGTTCACTTCAATTTTACTAGTCTCCGTTTCCGTTGCTCTACCCCCGCAGGGTCAGCACTCAGTTGGTGTGGGTTTAAAATTGAACATCCAAACTCTTAGCAATGATGCGTCTTATAAGCTACGGAATCAACTTCTTATGTAAAAGGAGCGCTTGTTGTTTGTGCATTTTAGGTTGATGCTTTCGCAACGCCCTTCAAAATCGATTAAATGTAGGCTATCGGTGATTGGCCGTACTAGTGTAGGGGAGCATTAAGTAGACATCTTCTTTTGCAATTTGCGTGTGGGCACTTGTTTCCTCCGTGTTCTAAATCACGCATTTTCGACCCCATTTGCATAATCCTTTGTTATAATGCGTAGATTAACTGTACTTGCGGAGACCACGAGTTAATCAAAGTAAGCGATGCAAATTATCCATTAAAATACTGTTTGCGCATTAACAAACTCCCCTATAATTCTGAATTTAAGGATCGTCAGTTTCATTGTGGATGGTAAATTGAGAGAATTCATTGTTATAATTAATAGAAATTTTTGATAACTAATGTACACGGTAAGGTGTGAATGGCATAACACTTGCCACCTTCAGCTGAAGCAGCGCTTAGCGAGTGACAAGCAAAAAACATTTCCTCAATCGGTTGCTTTTACGGCCTGTTCTGTAGAGAACACACGACAATTGTAGTACACTGGAATATTCGTGGAAGCAAGCAACATGAACAAGAAAACCAGAATAAGACTATTCCAAGTGTTATCTTTCGCGATGTTGAACGGAAATATTTCAGCCGTGGGTCTTGAAAGTCCCTGGATTTCATCGATTGTTCCGAAATTAGTCAAGCTCCATGATGAGCAGGAAGTAACAGTGGATTATCTAAGGGTGACATCGGTATAAACAATCATTGTTTTCATACTGACAGCTATTTGTCATAAAAAACCTAATATTGTCACATAACCCTGATCTGGGATTTTAAATGGCAGCCAGTCTTACTAACGGCGATTTTTATCCAAAGTGGTCACGTAGTGCAAGCAAAGCCAGTGAAATGAACGCAGGCTAAAACACGACTTCCGCGAAAGCCCAGTGTGGCTATTAAGGCTAGTCAGATTAAGTGCAACAATTTCGCTTCGTATGAAAACAACTACACAGTCGTGTAACTGGATGTTTGTTTAAAACAAACAGGATCGTGGTCAACGAACTTGTGTATTTCAGCTTATGCAAGAAATTTAAGTTGTTTGGCAATAGAAACATTCAGTGAAATTTACTAAGTTAAGTGTCAATTTTTTGCCTGCCAAAAGAACCCACCAAAAACTTGCTTCACTAGTTCAAATGTGTTTTGCAAAAATACATAACTGTACAAGACAAGTATATGTCTGACACACAGAGCTAACATCGGAGCTTGAAATAAAATATTTTTTGTTGGAAAAACAATGGCCACGCTCGTTAGCCTCGAAAGTAAGGAAAATATAAATCGCTGCGTGGCTAGCCTACATGATCAAATACGGCTACTGGTTTGAAAAGTGGATGACTGATGGAAGACCATGTCGTCTTTATGGCTTAACATCATTTCAAAATCGCTGGCTCTCGATGACTTGACTGAGAAAATCTGTTTGATCAGTTATTAGTGTCACTAGACAGTCTTGCGTATTTGGCGTGTAGCAGTCAAGATGGATCCCGCTCACAGGGCACACATAGACAGCCAGAAAAGTGCATATTGGGAGGCTTCATGGATGGTGCCAATCCATCCACAGCGCACAAGATAACAAATTGCAAATAGTCAAATCGCCTAAACGGATGCTGGAGAGCTTTCAGACGTGAATGACAGTTACATTCAAGGCCCAAGTCACCACGACCTTACTGGTCATGATAATGATTAGATTCTACGTCTGCTAGTGTTGTCGGAGGATTGGGTCTATGAAGAATTAAAGAATGACTAATGCATTAAAAATGTTATACCAATCACCTAAACCTTGCTTAAATCCATACAAGAGACATTTAGAAAAATTGGTCGGAACCGTAGATCACACTAATCAATAGCTCTTAGCAGCCCATGAGCACACAGACGAGTTGAAGGCAAAACGCATTTAGTTTCATTCGCATTTCAGGAAGCCACACGTTCTTCTACAAATGTACACCACCATTCATGAGGCTTCGATCCCGGCTCTAGAAGACATCTTTTGGAACTGTGGAGTGACTGTCTCCTTGACAGTCACTGTATCATCGTAATATCTCACTGGGAAAAATGACTAGATTCTACTTTGTAAGGTTCACCAGTGCCTCTAAAAATTCGAAACCTTTTCCATGATTGATGGAAAAGGAAGAATAAAAATGTGCACCAATTTATCTCAGTAAGCAATATAACAGTTCATTGTTAAGTAGGCTAGACTATGAGAGACCATGTACCCAAATGGGAATTGCATCAAGTGAAATGTTTTATAAATTGTTCTTTTCTCAGACTGGATAACTTTCTCTAGAAGGCAAGATGGACAGTATAACGATGGTCTAGAAACAACTATAAGTGAGACCACAGTATGGCGGAAGGATTGGAGCAAGTAGAATCGCCAGGCCCCATACAATCCCTACTAAGTTAGACCAAACTACATAACTTTTTGACGGCTTAGTTTATCCGCGACTGGCAAAAAAGTACCCAAGTTATGGCTATCAGACTGAGAGAGGCTAAGCAACATGCATGAAATCGGCGACTTAACGTAAAGCCGAAACCAGTCAGCAGCGTATTACTGAGCCGTTAGAGGTAAGTCCTTGGCACATCATAGCTTCCAATTCCCTGCCTTACCCTAGAAGTGCTGCTTGATACTGCTTCTTAATGTTACTCGAAGCTGGCAGGAACAGCAGTTGAAACCCAAATCACGTTGGATATATCTTCTAGGACATGTGAACAAATGAATATAGACAAAAAATTCGCGGAAAACTGTCGGCTGGAATTCACGCCAACTGTTGATGTTAGTTGGTGTCGTGAAGTCCATTAGAGTAATAAGGTAAGGCCGATTTCCACAGACCTCCCTTAATAGCCGATTCTTAGTTCATGTCGTTGATTTGCTACGAGCCCGGCTAATTACAATCTCAATTTAGGCACGCCTATCCGTAAATAGAAATTACCCGCAAAAGAACGGCAAGGCTCACATCAAGCAGCGAAACTGCGGATCTTGCCTGGCTTAAGGTAGTTTGTAGACTTGTTCGGCTCCCAATTACGTGCTCAGTTAAACCCGACATATTCAAACAATTGAACTGGTTAAAGCACACCCGGCACACCATAAAGAGCTTAAAATACACCTCGCCTAGTTGCGAAAACGCATGGATCAACTGAAACCTACAGGCCCACAGACGGACTGGAAAGCATGTCGGTGTGACGACGGCGTGCTCAGACCACAGGTGAGGTGCTGAGCTACCGCGGTTTGCGCGGACTGGCCAATCGCAACCGAAGGAGAGATATTGGATATGCCATGGTTTAAAGTGTACGGCTCTGCATAAAATTAAGCCTTAGGCAAAAACAGTTGCTTTGGTTGGGCATGCGGCGACGCTGGATCAAGTGCGAGAGTACGCTACTGAAAAATGGATATGTCAATGTTTAGCCCATTTGCTGCAGATTTAAAATATGGCGTACTGTGGATTTTTGAAAATACCTCTTTGGAGATTAACATAGTGACCATAAAAGACGCATTACTCACTGAATACGAAATAATCAGGCTGGCAAGGAAACACGACATTGTTGCATTAAAACAACGTAACATTTCAGAAAAGTGCAAATGTGTATTTTTGGAATAGAGAATCAAAAGATACATATAATTGTCTTTTGTACATATATTCACATTTTTTTAATAGAGACAGTAACTTTCTTCTCTGCATCGGGCTCCTGAGCGTGGACTGTGAAGCAGCTTTGGTCATCAAAATACGAAACAACCTGAAGGGTGAAACCAGCAGCACCGTAATTTTCATGAGTCGAAAAAAAATGCGAAACCAAAGGAAACAAACTTTCTCCATAATTGGTTTACGTTAGAAATCCACAACAGCAAGGCTTACTAGCAAGTAACGTTTTTTAACATAAAATGATCGTTTCCACAGTATTCAAGTTCAATACCGACTCATTGATGAGAGCAAGCTAAGAACAACTCATAAGGTAGATGCTAAGTCAAAATGACCGATGACAAAATTCTACTAATTAGGGATCACAAGCCTGCTAAACATTTATTTTTTATACTTATGACTCTCGCCCCCATTTAGTGGAATAAGCCACTTTTAGATCAAAATAAGGTCCTCAATGTGGGTGGGCGTCGCAACGGTTTTAAGTCAATACGAACGCGATCAAATTGACACACATCTGAACAAATGTATTTCTTAATTCATTAACGATTCTAAAACCAGTAAAACAGGAAGAACATGGGTCAGAATAGCTAACTTAGGCTGATGTCCTATAGAATGTCACGATTCGACCGCTAATACACATGACCTAGGCATTAAAGCGAATCGACTGATCATGAACAGGTTTTTTCATCATACACGTGAGTCCCTCCGAGCGTCTTGTACTACTGTCGCCACCAATGATGTGAGTTTACAAAACATTATGGGATATCTATTCAGATAGGATGTAAAATTCGAATTGGGAAGAGATTACCTCGTCCGTAATGGCAACGTCGAAATTGTGCGGAGTCTTCATAACAATTACGACATTGTGGGTCGAATGATTCAGTTTAAGATAAGATAACAATCGAATACGAAGTTCTGCTTCTGTCTGCTGGTATAGGTAAATCGCATGAAAGACTACAACAAAAAATGAAACGAATTTAGACAAATGCTCAGTTTCTTTTGGACTGGCATCATACAGAGATCAGTGGGGCTGACAATCCTAGTTACAAATTTGGCTGCTAGGCAAGCTAAAGCAACAACAACAACAACAACATACTTCTGTCTGTGGAAATGTTTGTTAAGGGTTATGGGGAAGTAACCTTTGACAACAGTACTAGAAAATTTTACCGAAACGAGTACAATCTTACACATTTTGCCACCTCCGTGGAAGAACGCCAGTGATGGTACGCCACTAGTCAAGTGGTCATACATGCAATTGAAAATACGCTGGATGCGCAATCGGACTTACTAGATTCGGATTCCTTCCGGACAAAAATCGTACAGATAGGCCTTGGTGGTCTAAAGTAAAACGGTGTGCGAGGGGAAATGGCATGACTTAGGGCAGAAAAAGAAGTCATCAATCTTACTTCTGCATTATCGCGTTGGATAGGCGAATTCCTTCAACAGCACCGCAGAGGAGAACGAGATCGCGGCGACCTAGTCTAAGCATGTCAGCACCTGGGACGAAAGAACGCATACCTCACTTAAAGGGAGAAGTTAAATCAGCTACGATAAAATAGGTTACATGTTGGGGCTATGACATGAGCGGGCTTAAGAGTACACAACGACTGGCCACGGAGATTGGATCACTTTAAACTCCAAACAAAATACAACGCTATTAGTGTAACTATGTAAAGGCATTTGATAGTAAACACGATTCCAGGTTGTCATAAATGCCAAGTTCGATGAAAGTTGTTACTGTTAGCAAAACTCAAAAAAAAACCAAAACAAAGACCCCGGCAAGAGGTCACTCCACGACTGAATGTTTGTGTGACTAACCAAAGGGATTGTCAGGGCTTTTGCAAAGAGCCTGACATATTGGCTGCGGGGCAGCTAGGGAAAGTATAACGAAGAAGAGACGGATGATGTGTTGCCGAAAGCAAACGCCTAGGGTCATTCAGAGGGTTTAAGCGCTCATGAAGGTTTTATCAATAAATGTGGCAAAATAGGACTCCAAACGGATGAGGTGGGGAACAAACCCTGTATCAGGCACTTTAGGGACTGACTCAGCATAAATTGCCTTATTCGACCGAAACGCGAGAACAAAACAATTGAGAACAAAGGTTGGTAGGACGAGACACCGATCACAAGGAACCCCCGGGCCATGAAATAAATACTGACACAGATCATTAATGGCATGTCTTGGATAACACAGCTTCCCGGGGACTAGGAAAATAAAAGCTTTCAAAACAAGCCGTCCTATTTCCACCAAAAGGTAGGCTTGGCGTTAATCTCAGAAAACAGCGGGCAATGTTCAGACAAAGTGGTTGATACATTTTGATAACGGACTGCAAGGTTTGCAGATCGAATGATGAGGACGACAGGCTGATTGCCGTAAGAAAAAGGGAGTGAGGAAGTTCGCACTTCATGATTACAAGTGAACCACAACAAATTAAGCACATGAGTATGGAGCCAGGTTAAGCCATAACCGAGATTCAAGGGTAACGCAGTGGAGGAATCTCGTCGGCCAGGTACTACAAATGGCAGGAACTAAGTAGAATAGCAAGGGTACAAAATCCACTCCGAAAAGTACGGCTCAAAATGTGTCGAGGGGACGATTGTACTGATAAGTGTGATATGTCGAAGTGCACTTCAACAAGCACTAAATTGCTTCACATTATAGTAAAATTTTAAAATCCAAAAATATCTGTAGACTTTGAAAGGAAAACTACCATAAGGAGTGTATACAAGTACTTAAGCCAACCACTTGTTTTCTAAAATGGGTTTAACTTTTTACGTCAATAACTGCGTGCAGGTGTTGAAAAAAAATAATTTTAAAGCAAAACAACATACTGCACCTTTTGAGGTTGTCGAGTCTGTTGAATATGGGGCAAAACCTACCACTGAACTTAGCAAACTTTGACCTCAGACTGCCAAATCCTGAGGCACGAAGCCAACTGCCGACGGCCGTTCGCGACATATCCGCACGGAAGGCACGAACTCTGCGCGTGTTGCCCACAGATGAACGTCCAGACGACCGCGCCCAAGTCGACGGAATTGAGTGTGTGGGTGGGGAAGCAACCACCACGGTGGCTCCCCCCTCCCCTTCGTCATCGCCCTCATCACCGGCATCCTCCTCAGCCACACCCTCTTCCTCCTCGTCTTCGCTTTTCGTCTGCGAGGGCGGCAGTGAAGATTTGTCGGAGGGGATGAGTTGGCTAGCTTCGCTTGAGGTTGAGGGCCGACGTAAGAGACCATTGCCGGACTCATTACCTGGGGCCTGGCTCGAGTAGTCCGAAGTAACAAGAGGAACAGGTGGAACAGAAGGTGGAGCTTGACTAGCAGATGCATGACGAATAAGACGCTAAAATTTCGAAAACAGGCGAAGTCACTGCCTTCTCACGCACTCACTTGTAACATTTACAGAGGACAATAAACCACGAAAATTAAACAGGGCTAGTTTAGAAGTCCCAATACCAAAGAATAATCAATTCTACTCTTGGTAGACGTCTAGCAATTTCAAACCTTAAATGATTACTCCAATTTTACCCAAAAGAAACACACCAGATGAAAAGTAGCGACCCGAGAAGCGGAATATCCTCAATAAAACACTTGCACACCGACGCTCGTGAAAATATTAACCAATACGCGATCATAAGTTTATCAAAGTCGCATTATCAAACAACGTTTACGTCCAATCCACTAAATCGCACTGCATCCACACTCCCCAAAATGACAATTTTACCTAATTAGAGGAGGACGCACGACTACCAATT